GAAGGAGTCTAGAGTGTCTCAACCTTTAATGTGAGTTAGATCTTGTGAAACCACAGAGTCAGGGAGCGCACTCCTAGAAATTCCAATTCCATGCATCTGGTCCAGGGCCCAGTCATCTGTGTTTCTAACCAGCTCCCATGTGATGCCAATGCTGCCATTTTGGGACTTCCCTTTTGTAGCCGGGACAGCTGATCGGAACCCAAAGGAAAGACGATAGTGGAGCTCTTGAGTCTGCTGCATCTAGGGGTGGCGGGGAGGGAAAGGAAAGCGAATCTAAGTGGCTTCATTTGGTGAAGTCTCTTTAACAAGACCTCCCTTTCCTCTTTCACAGAAGCAAATCCAGAGAAATTTAACAGTCGTTTCCGAAATAAAATGTTTTATGCAGGGGTAAGTATAGATTTCACTTCATTATTACTATTACCTATCACTTCACACTTGTTCACTGTTAGTAATAAAGATTCTGACTGCATTAAAAATTACACATCTAGTGTTTATATGGTTATACTTATATGTGACTAGGAGCTCTGGTGGCGTTGTGGTAAGGCATTCAGGTAAGGTGGGTGGTTCAAACCCACCAGCTGCTCCACCATAGAAAGATGAAGCAGTCTGCTTCCAGCAAGATTCATAGCCTTGGAAAGCCTATAGGGGTTGCTATGAGTCACAGTAAACTTGATGGCAGTGGGTGTGGGTTAGTTTGGTTTACCTATGGCTAATGCTTAATGTCTTGGCTTAAGAAGGTTGTTGTTGTTATGTGCCGTTGAGTCAGACCCGGCTCATAGCGACCCCTCCTTGGGTTTCCCAGGCAGTATCACTACAGAAGTAGATTGCCCAACCTTCCTTCTGAGGAGTGGCTGGTGGGTTTGAATCATAAGAATAAAAGGGTGTTTTTTCTTAAGTTCATTGTCAGAAGGAGAGCTGATGTTCATTGTCTTTGAACTTTAAAGCCCTTGAGGTCCATGCATGTTGTAGAGAGGTGGTAATATTCCAGGAGTGGCATGAAAAGTCAACACCAAAGAACTCATGGAAGCCATCAGGGAGAGGGAAGTTAGTTGCATTGAAAGGTGTATGGGGTGTGCAGTGAGAATGTAGTTTTCACAGGTGCGTGCATACAGGGATATTTGGATGAAAAATAGAAACAACAGGGGACATTTTTCATGGATGTATGTATGAGAATAAGGGAGGCCCCTTCTTTTTTCCTTTCCTCTTGTTAGGCAAATCCCTCAGGGTAAATGGCCAGAGGAAAGAAAAGACCTCCACACTATCGATAAAGGAAGTGTGGTTTAAATTTATACCCTGCACAGAGGGGTGTCAGATCAAAGGGTGGTAGGGAAAGCACGCACAGTCGCAGGAGCAGGAGCAGGAGGGGCAGTCACGGTGGGCCTTCAGACGGGTCCTTAGAAATAACACTCTCCTTCTGTTTCTGTCTCTTCTTGTGACCTGAAATTCTGTTGTTGGTTATGGTAGAGAGGCAAAGTGTCCAGCTTGGTAGCCACTGCACTGCTTTACTTGGATCAGCAAATAATGGAGACCTTGTTTTATATTTTTGAATAGTTTGGAACCACTGGGAACAGTCCATTGTATAGAAGCAAGGATTTGATATAATCATGTAACTAAGCTTTTTTTCTTCTTCTTCTTTATTGTCTTGTGCTATAGGCAGCCTTTTCCGATTTCCTACAGAGGAGTTCTAGGGATCTATCCAAACATGTTAAAGTTGTCGTAAGTATTGAGTATATTGATTGTTTCATTTCAATATAAGTATATATACAGAAAAAAAAAAAAACAACCCAGAACCTCTGAATACCAATTTGTATATGTAGGTTAAGGAGTTCTTGTAGCACATCGGTTAAAGCATTCGGCTGCTAGCCAAAAGGTCAGTTGTTCCAGCCCGCCAACTGCTCCATAGGAGAAAGATGAGGCAGTGTGTTTCCAAGATTTACAGCCTTGGAAACCCTGTGGGGCAGTTCTACTCTATCCTCTAGAGGTGCTGTGAACCAGAATTGACTTGATGGCAGTAGGTTTGGTTTTAGATTCTATATTTAGATTAACTATTAGATTGTATACAACTTCAGAGATAATTTACATTCAACAAACATTTAGGAGCACCCTCTATGTGCTCATAAACACATCATCAGTTCAAGTTCAAGTTGAAGCTGAAGACAAAACCAGTCCATGAGAGCCAAAATGCGACCTTGAGTATATCCCACTCGAGCTTAGAGACTATCTGAAGAATAGATTTGACACATTGAACACCAATGACAGAAGACCAGACGAGCTGTGGGATGACATCAAGGACATCATATATGAAGAAAGCAAAAGGTCATTAAAAAGACAGGAAAGAAAGAAAAGACCAAAATGGATGTCAGAAGAGACTTTGAAACTTGCTCTTGAGTGGAGAGTAGCTGAAGCAAATGGAAGAAATGATGAAGTAAAAGATCTGAACAGAAGATTTCAAAGGGCAGCTTGAGAAGACAAAGTAAAATATTATAATGAAATGTGCAAAGACCTGGAGTACAAAATCAAAAGGGAAGACCATGCTTGGCCTTTCTCAAGTTGAAAGAACTGAACAAAAATTCAAGCCTCAGTTGTAAATTAAAATATTCTACTGGCAAAATGGATCTTGGCTTGGAAAGATGTTTACTTGTGTTTTACTGACTATGCAAATGCATTTGACTGTGTGAATCATAACAAATTATGGATAACATTGAGAAGAATGGGAATTCCAGAGCACTTAATTGTATTCATGAGGAACTTGTATGTAGACCAAGAGGTTTTTGTTTGAATAGAACAAGGGGATACTGCATAGTGTAAAACAGGAAAGGTATGCATCAGGGCCATATTTTTCCCCATACTTACTCAATCTGTATGCTGAGCAAATAATCCAAGAAGCTGGGCTATATGAAGAGGAACATGCTTTTGTTTGGATTGGAGAAATAACCTGTGATATGCAGATGACACAACCTTGCTTACCGAAAGTGAAGAGGACTTGAAGCACTTACTGATGCAGGTAAAAGACTACAGCTTTCAGTATAGATTACACCTCAATATAAAGAAAACAAAAATGCTCACAACTGGACCAATAAACAATATCACAATAAATGGAAAAAAAGATTGAAGTTGTTAGGGATTTCATTTTACTTGGATCCACAGTCAACACCCACGGAAGTAGCAATCACGAAATTGAACAATATATTGCACAGGGCAAATCTACTGCAAAAGGTCTTTTTAGTGTTGAAGAGCAAAAGGATAAAAGCTGGAGATCCTGGATGGAGTGGGAGGAAAAATGTGGAACAAAATCCAAAAACACAATAATGACCAGAATTACTGGTCGGATGGAGTCTGGTGGGACCCCCAATACTATAACCCTGGGATACGCTTTGGGCCTGGAATAAAACTCACTCCTGGGGGCTGGTTCTTAGCCCAATAGTAAACAAGATGTACACTTAGACCACTCAACCCAAGGTGACGCACCCACATATTCTATGGAGATGCATCCCTTGGGGCAATTGACCACGGGACACCAGAGGGGACAACATTCGCAAGGAGGAAATGCAGGACACACAGGAGTGCATGACTGTGAGGGGCACAGGGGGGAGGGGAAGTTACTGGGCAGGGAGGGGAGGAGACTGGGTTAGGGTTGGGGAGGGTAAATGGGGAGTGAAAAACCAAATGTACGTGGAATGTTGAATGCAAAACAAACTCTGCTCTGTAAACTTGCACCTAAAGCACAATAAAATAAATAAATAAATTGTTGAAGAGCAAAGGTGTCACTCTGAAGGCTATGGTGTTCCTGACCCAAGCCATGGTATTTTCAGTAGCCTCATATGGATGTGAAAGTTGCATAATGAATAAAGAAGACCAAAGAATGAATGCATTTGAATTGTGGTGTTGGCAAAGAATATTGAATATACCATTGTCTGCTAGAAGAATGAACAACTTTGTCTTGGAAGAAGTACAGCCAAAATGTTCCTTAGAAGCAAGAATGGCCAGACTGTCTCATGTACTTTGGCCATGTTATCAGAAGGGACAGGTCCCTGGAGAAGGATCATGTTTGGTGTAAAGTCAAAGATCAGTGACAAAAGGGAAGAACTTCTATGAGATGGATTGACCCAGTGGCTGCAGTGATGGGCTCCAACGTAGCAACGATCGTGAGGATAGCACAGGACTGGCGTTTGCTGTACCTGGGGCTCCGTGAGTTGGAACTGACTCGACTGCATGCAACAGCAATAACCACTCTACTGGGAGGCACTGTCCTCACTGCTGGGGATAAAGATTAATAAGAAGACTGGTATCACTTTTCACGTAACCCACATTTCAGTGGAGAAGAAGGGCACATTGCGGAAAATGGAACTAGGGTTATCACTTAGCTGTTCATCCTATATGGTACAGTGAGACATGATAAATCTGACAGTGGTTGGGGCAGGGAAACTTTTATCATAGAAATGAGGTTGAATTGGGTCTTGAAGTATAAAGAGGCACTCACCAAACACAGGTCTTTATTCCAGGGTTGTGTGAGAAGTCTTAGTTTTAGGACAATGCACTGGTTTCATGACCTTGTGCTCACTCGCTCTCCATCCTGGACAAAGTTTCTCACTGTGAGTGGAGTGTCTGTGCTGCTTCTTCCTGGATCTCTGTCTGGGTTTTGGACACACACTGCCTTGAGGCACAGAAAGGGGAAAGTTATCCTTTCTGTATGGGAAACACAGAAATAAACCCACTCCATCAAATCACTTCTGACTCATAGTGACCCCCCTACAGTTTCCAAGGCTATGAATCTTACAGAAGTGTATAGCATGTAATCAATTTTTTTAAAAAGATATAAAAGGTTTTCTCATAGTAGCCGTGTTCAGAGAAAGACTGAACATGATTTTGTTGTGTATATTCTATAAGTAAATGAAAAAGAATGCCAGAAAGAGGCAAACACATAGAAGAGAAAGCAGGAATGAAAATATAGCATGTCTTAATTTAGCATGGAGAAACCAAAACCCGTTGCCGCTGAGTCGATTCCAACTCATAGCAACCCTCTAGGACAGAGTAACTGCCTCATAGGCTTTCCAAAGCTGTACTCTTCACAGAAGTGGACTGCCACGTCTTTCTCTCATGGAGCAGCTGGTGGGTTCAAACCACTGGCCTTTTGGTTAGCAGCTGAGCACTGTTGTGCCACGAGGGCTCCTTTATCAAGGAATATGTGAAGAATAGGACCATGTGAGTAAGGGAATGTGACACTCCCTGGGTGGTGAAAGCGGTTAAGTGCTTAGCTGCTGACCAAAAGGTTGGGGGGTCAAGTCAACCCCGAGGTACCTGGAAGAAAGGTTGGGTGATCTGCTTCTGAAAAATCAGCCATTGAAACCCCGGAGGACAGGTCCCTCTGACAAACACGGACTCGCCGTGAGTTGGAATGGACTCGGTGACAACTGGTTGATTGTTATCATACATGTTTCTCATACATGTATGGGAAAGAGAAAAGGATATGATCAAAAGCTAATGAGCGTAGAGGACTATTCAGGGTGTGAGAGAACACCAATTAAAATTTGTGATCTCTAATAAAGCACAAGTGCCTAAGACACTTGACTGCTAACCAGAAGGCTGGCGGTTCAAACCCACCTGCCACTCCTCAGAAGGAAGGTTGGGCAATCTACTTCCGGAGTGATACCGCCTCAGAAATCCAAGGAGAGGTCACTATGAGTCGGGTCCGACTTGATGGCACACAACAACAATAAAGCACAAATGAAACAGATTTTCTGAATCAGCTAGAATAAGAGAGGAAGGATAGTATAATGATGCTGGGGGGGTGAAAAGGATGGAGGGGCAGCTAGAGTGGTTAGGTGGGTATATGACAGCAGATCATCTGACCTTTGCTGCAGGGTGAAGTCTGGTGAAATAGTTAATAATCCCTCATAGGCATGTGAGGTGCTTGTACGACTAACTTGTTGCCTTGAGTCGATTCCAACTGCAAGTGACTCTATAAGACAGGGTAGAAATGCCTCAGAGGGTTCCCAAGGTTGTAAGCAGACCGCCTCATCTTTCTCCCATGGAGTGGCTGCTGGGTTCAAACTGCTGACCTTTAAGTTAGCTGCCAAGTGCCTAACGACTGTGCAATCAGGCTCTTTGCTTATTTGACTACTACACAAGGACCCAGAAAACCATCAATGACAAGAGCCTGCAGTGCAGCATTATTTGTCTACTTCCTGTGTTTACTTCCTGCTGTTTAGCTTTGCTCATATGTGAGCTCATACACAGGAACACGCTACACATGCCAACATTGTCCTATGTGTGTGTGTGACATCGGATAAAGGTTGGAAACTGCTGTTAAAGAATTGTAAGATTTAAGTGCGACCATGTATAAGGAAACGTGCACACTACACACTGTCAGGCACTCTTTTACAAGTTCCTAAGTTCCTAGGGCCACTGACATGTTGCTTAGGAAGAAAAAGAAAAATTGAATTTGGTTCTGAATACAGTATTTCTCATCACCTTTTCTGAAATGTAACCAGGCTGCTGTGTGTGCTATTCATGTATCACATTCCATTCTGAACAGTTTTATTGACAACACTCACTTGGATCATTGATGATGTCTACATTTTTTCTTATTGGTGTAGTCATTGATAAACTCAGTTCCAAGCCCTGAAATGGGAGAAGTCATGGTTCCTGAGTAGTTGGACATATTGTAAAGACACCCAAGTCAATGTCTAGAAGTTGATGCTTACCTATATGATGTTTAAAAATATTTTGCTCATTTGGAGTTCTAAGATGTCCTGGAACTAATTTTGAGAACGTTTATGAAAACGAGTTTTTATGGAAATCAGTGGGGAGAAGGATGTAGGTGCTAGCAACCATCTCAACTGCTCGGCAAACCACTGCACTTAGACTGAAAGTCCTGTTGAAGAAAGCTTTAAACACCCACAGGGCAGCTCAGAAGGCCTCCCTCCTCTGCTCCAAAGAGAAGCTGATGGGAGAGTCCCTTGGTGAGTTGCTGAGGTTCTAGGGAAGCGAACATAAAAGCAGGCATTCCTGATTGACATTGAGAAGTCTGCAGTCATCACTAGAGGTTTTCCTCTTGATTTTTATCACAATTGGGAAATGAGGATGCGATGTTAAAGCCTTACGTTTGCTTAGTGAAAGGACTCAGAGAATCCTCTTGAGGAAGGCACTAACCAGTGAGGGGATGCGTATACAGAGGCATGGAGGCCAAGCTGCCCTTGCCCGTGGGACCCAGCGCCATCTTGACACTCCAGTAAATTAGATTAGCTCCAGAGTCTGATCGAGGTTTTTAAGAAATTAAATTGATAAGAGCAAAGTGTACGTGGTGAGAGCATTAATTTATACTTGTTCTAGTTGTTAGGGCCGTACAGTTGATCGTGACTCATAGCCATCCCATATGACTGAGCAGACCTGCCCCATGGTGTTTTCTCGACTGTAATTGTTGTGGGGGCAGATCACCAGGTCTTTCTCCCAAAGAGCGTGTTGTTGGGTTCGAACCACCAACTTTTCATTAGCAGCTGAGTCCTTAACCATTCTACTATCATGGCTTCTTACTCTATAATTAGATACCTTTTCAAGAGCTTGTAATGTACCTACCTTTTAAATTGTGTTCAAAATACAATGTTTAATATTTCCAAACTAAAAAAAAAAAAAAAATCTCAAAAAGCAAAGCGATTAAGTGGCTATCTTCCTTACTGTTCTCTGATTCAGATGACAATAAGGGAGAACGCTGTTGCCTTAATCTTGAGCTTCTTTGAAGTGTTCATCAACCTCTGAATGTTGATCCTACAAACCTAAATGCCTAAAGATAATCCAAGATAAGAATAACAATAGTCCTTTTCATGGTGAGAAACAGAGAAAAATCACTATGGTGAAATGCCAGCTTCGTTTTTATGTGAAAAATGAAATAAAGCCATGCTCTGAACCCTCAAAAAAAAGCCAAACTCACTGCTGTCGAGTCTGTTCAGACTCATAGTGACCCCTCCTTGGGTTTCTAGGGCAGTACCACTATGGAAGTAGATTGCCCATCTTCCTTCCGAGGAGTGGCTGGGGGTTTTGAACCGCCAGCCTTCTGGTTAGCAGTCAAGTGCCTTAGGCACTAGGCCACCAGAGCTTCCACTCTGAACCCTAGTCTTGGTAAAGCTCATCAGAATAAATTGTTAGTCACAGTAGTTGGCATTCACTGAAGCAGAGGTAGGGGCAAAAGGAGGAAGAGTAGGGTCCATGCTTTTGTCACCCCATTGTCTTGACAACCTTTGAGACTTGAGTCTACGTCAGAGCCTCTGACCTTTCTCTTGTATTGTTTCAGTGTGACGGGACCGACCTCACCCCAAAGATCCAGGAGCTAAAGTTCCAGTGTCTCGTATTTTTAAATATACCCAGGTGAGCTCTGGTCACCCGGCTTCCTCAGTTTGATGTGCAGTCTGGTTTGATTTGAGCCTATCTGTCAGAAAAATGCCAGGCATAACTGCTGGTGGGACTTTAAAAAATGGGGCAACCACTGTGGAAAATGGTATGGCGCTTCCTTAAAAAGCTGGAAATAAAAATACCAGGCGATCCAGCAATCCCACTGTTAGGTGTATATCCTAGAAAAGGAAGAGCCATGACATGAACTCATCCGGGCACAGCTCTCTTCACCATAGCGAACAAGATGGAGACAGTGTCAATTCCCCTCAGCGGGTACATGGTTAAACCAACCGTACACACACACAGTGGAATACTGTGCCACGTTAGAGAACAACGATGAATCCGTGAAACATCTCATAACATGGTTGAACCTAGAGGACATTTTGCTGAGTGACGTCAGTCAATCACAAAAGAACATATATTATATGAGACCACTGTTGTAAAAAGTCAAGAAAAAGGTTTCACACAAAAAGACATTCCTTAAGGGTTACCACGGGTGAGTGTACTCTCTGGAGGGTAGACACATACTAAATTGGGTGAAGGGGGAAAAAAAGAAAAAAAAAATTGCAGGTGTGGACAGTGGGAATCAGCTATCTTGATGGTCCATTAGAGGTTTACAGGTCTGACAGTGCTGCTCACATACTTGGTTCATTCAGTGTTCTCAGTAACACGCGGTGTCCACGTCCCACATGAAGCCCAGATGTCCCTTTGATTGTAATGTTTACACTGAATTCTAAGGCGCTGCTCCTCACGTCAGTGGCAGACTTGACTGAATTCCTGTGCTCCGTATCACGAAGCTTCCTTCTCCTTTGTAGAAAACCACCCAGCTTGATTGGAGTGTGCAATTCATTCAAAAGAATCACCAGATGATCACTTTGGTAAAACAGCATCAATCAGAGTAGTGCGTGGCAGCCAGGGTTTCAGCTGTCTTTGGTGCTATTATATACCCCAGAAGAAAGGAGTATTTAAGATGAAACAGTCTCACAATAAGCATATTACCTCCGTGGCATAAAATTAGACAGGAGGCTCACGCGCCACGACTGAGGGACGTGGATAGCCTTTTGCTTTCTGCGCACCAGGCAACTGCGACACAACAGCTGCAAATATATTCCTTTTAGACAGAATTGAATTGATGTGTGAGCTATATGTAAATCTGTGTCTGGGAAAACATGTTTACAATCCCCTGAGGACATATGGCAACCCTCAAGTAGACGTTACTGTCCTATTCCGGAAGTGTTTTCTGCTTAGTTGTTTAAGTGGAAGGCCTAAGTTCTGAGCAATTGTTTGTTGTTGTTGTTATGTGCCGTCGACGACTCTTAGCGACCCCTCTTTGGGTTTCCAAGGCAGTATCACTACGGAAGTAGGTTGCCCCATCTTCCTTCTGAGGAGTGGCTGGTGGGTTTGAACCACCAGCCTTCTGGTTAGCAGTCAAGTGCCTTAGGCACTATGCTACAAGAGTTTGTTAATCTTCTTTAATTCTTTCTTCTTCTGCTTCCTCTTCTCTTTTCCTTCCCTCCTGCCCCTCTGGATCCCTTTCCTCTACTTTCCAATTTTCTTGATTTCTCCTTGTCTTTCTAACCCCGTACACACAGAATCCTGTGAGTGCTGCAACTCAATGGCATGGCCTGGTTTTCCTGGGTCACATAGGTTTTCTGCCTTGGACAGGGTGCACTCTTAAACCATTTTGTTTTTTTTTAAATCACTCTCTGTTTGTGGAAAATATTTGCGTTCTCCTTTTCTGACAGGTATCTGCCTTACACAGGTTCTGAGTTTCGCAGGTTTTAGTGTGTAATCATTGAATCTAATTGTATAAGTCCCGCTGGTAATTTTGAGGGGAATGGAATAAACATACACCTACTTGTCACTTACTAGCTCATTATCTAACATTTCATGTTTACAATAGTGAAGATCTACCATCTCACTAGTTTGCTCATTAAGAACATCCATCTGACAGTGACGAACGCCAAGGTACGAGGTGAGAGTAACACTGGCTGTGATGGTTAAGGTTATGTGTCAGTTTGGCTTGGCCATATTCTCAGAGGTTGGACAGTTACATAATGATGCAATTTGGCAGTTATGTAATGATGAGATTTGGCAGTTACACAACAATTTAGTCATTCTCCATTTGGTGATCTGATGTGATCATCCTCCATTTTCACGTAACGCTGGTTTTCATATAATGGACGACCTGGTCTCTGGAAGCTAACCGTGTCGGTAAGTGAGGAGTAGGTGTAATTCTGATGTTGTTGTCTTGCAGATATTGTGCTGGCACAATGCCCTGGGGAAATCCAGGAGATCACCATGACTTTGAGCCTCAGCGCCATGATGATGGCTATATTGAAGTCATTGGATTCACCATGGCCTCTCTGGTGAGCAGCATGGCTATTTCAATGAATGGAATGCATTTTAGTCCTGGCTTGGGGTCATTCCCTTCACAGGACTTCAGTATACTTTTCTCTCTTATTTTATCAATTTATAAACTTTATGCAAGATGGAGTTGCTTAGAAAATAGAAGAATAAAATGCCATTATTTAGGTCATCAAGAATATTGACACACATTTGAACTTCAATAAATGAGGATTATAGGTTCATTTTCCTGCTGAATTTTCTTCCGCAATGATATGCTACATTGTTACGCTTACTTGTAAAAGCGTTCTGCCATAGAAATATCATCTTTGATACACAAACCATGCCATTTGGTGCTTCTTGGTTCACTAATGACTTGAGTAAGGAGCTGTAGTGATGCAGTGCTTAAGTGCTTGACTGCTAACCAAAAAGTCTGTGGTTTGAACCCACCTGCTGCTCCATGGAAGAAAGATGTGGCATCTGCTTCTGTTAAGAATTACAGCTTTGGAACTCTTTGGGAAAATCTGCTCTGTCCTATAGCATCTCTATGAGTCAATATGGACTTGACTGCAAAGGGATTTAAAGATTGAGTTGTTGCTGATATGTGTCGTGGAGTCAGACCTGACTCATAGCGACCCCTCCTTGGTTTTCCGAGGCAGTATCGCTATGGAAGTAGATTGCCCAGACTGCGTTCTGAGGAGTGGCTGGTGAGTTTGAACTGCCAGCCTTCTGGTTAGCAGTCAAGTGCCTTAGGCACTATGCTACCAGAGCTCCTAAAGATTGAGTCTCTAGATAAAAAGGAAACTGATCATTTGCATTCAGCTTCATCTCATGCTCTTGGGAATGGGATAGGCATTTCCATAATCTCAAAATGCTGAATGTAGAAAAATAGCATTATTGTGGCATTAATGAATATCCAGTTGCCACAGTATTGAGGCCACCTGGGACTAAAGTTTTGTATGCTTGCCTTAAAAAAGTAAATGTATAGCATAAGTGTAACTTTAAACAGATTTTAACCATGTATTCCCACTTACTAAATGACGATGGGGCTAATTAAAAAGTCTGCTTATTATTGTGTGTAAATCAGGCCACACAATTGATTTATAAAGCAAATAAAATGAAGTTTCTACTTGTAACCTTTGGTCAGCACTTGGTGGTGCTATACCTTAGGCTTGAGAGCAAGAAGGTTGCAGTCCTTGTTCTAAACCAAGCAAAACAGCTGTCTTTTGCACTCATTTCATGGCTTACAAATTGCTTGTCCTCAAACACATCACATTAATCATGTTTAACAACAGAGCCTATTGCAATTATGGCCAGAATACCCACCTCCTGAGATGGTGGTGTTGCTTGTTGAGTGGACTGTGTCTAGATTGAAATGGTTGTTATGGTGTAAAACATGGGGCTGAGATTGACCTGCTTTTCAGGGGGTGGTGATCACATACAGTACTTCCTCTCTAAAGTCTTTTAGGCTGATGACAGGCAAAGACACAGTCAAGAGCAAATTAGATTCAGTTCATGAAGGGTATCTGCGAGGATGAATTCTTGGAAGTGACAAAAACATGTTGGTATGTTGTTAGGTGCCACAGAGTCAGTTCCAACTCACAGTGATGCTGTGTGCAACAGAACAACACGCTGCCCGGTCCTGCACCGTCCTCACAGTCTCGCCATGTTTGAGTCCATCATTGCAGCCACTGTGTCAGTCCGTCTCATTGAGGGTCTTCCTCTTCTTCATAGACCCTCAGCTTTACCAAGCATGACATCCTTCTCCAGGAGTCTGTCCCTTCTGACAACATGACCACAGTATGAGAGACGAAGGCTGGCCATTCTCTCTTTTAACGAGCGTTCTTGCTGTATTTCTTTGAAGACTGATTGTTCATTCTTCTAACAGTCCTTGGTACTTTCAGTATTCTTCACCAACACCACAATTCAAATGCATCAATTCTTCTGTGGTCTTCCTTACTCAGTTGTTCAGCTCCCACATGAATACGAGGCTACTGAAAATACCATGACTTGGGTCAGGTGCACCTTAGTCTTCAAAGTGGCATGTTTCCTCTTTAACATTGTAAAGAGGTCTTTTTGCAGCAGATTTGCCCAGTGCAATACATTGAGTTCTTGACAGCTGCTTCCATGGGCGTTGATTGTGGATTCAAGTTAGGTGAAATCCTTGACAACTTCAATCTTTTCTCT